ATCGCAATATATCGCCTTGTTTACAGTATCGAAATATATCGGGATATATCGGGATATATCGTATCGTGACCCCTCTGTTATGATATGTATCGTATCGCCAAATTCTTGCCAATACACAGCCCTAGTGACACTTTGGTTTTGTACAAATCAGCAAGGAGAAATGAAACATCATTAAAAACCTGAAAGACTGAAGACTTGAACATCAAAGAATCCTACAGGTGAAGCAGCATTTTTAGCAATGATTATTCATCTAAATCAAYAGAAAACCTCCAGACGTTTGATGTGAAAGAAATAATCTCTGCAAAAGCTCTGAACTTTTATTAGCTTCGTGGTAAAGTTTTGAGGAAACCTCAGGCTGAACCGTTTTAAAACAAGTCACTCCACCTGGTCGCTCACCTTATTTGCCGTCTCCATGACCACCTCGATATTAAGGTTCTGTGCGGCCATGGCGAGCAGCTCGTCGTCGTCATCCCCGACATCCCAGGCGTCGCTCGTGATGCTCTCAAACTCCTGGAAGGTGGTGGCTTTCTTGGGTTTGCCTGGTGTGGCTGGAGGGGGCTTGTTGCCTGCTTTCATTAGACTGAAGCACAGACAGAAGAGAGGGAGGGGGGGACAGGGTTATTGTTAGGGTGATAAAAAGGAATAATGATGCAACAAAAACAATTAAAAGAAAAAAACAATGACAATAAGGTGATGTGTGGGTGGGTGTCTGAGGTAAATCCTGCAAAAAGGAAAAACATCCATTTAACAGTTTGAGACTATTTACTGTACAACAGTTTCTGAAGCAGCTTCAGTGGAAACAAACAGGGTTCATGCAGGTTTCAGTAAGTTAAATTTAAAACCTTTTAAGACCATTAGTAATGACATTTAAGACCAAATTGAYGCATTAACAGAAACATTCAAACAGTCCCAGAAATTTTATAATAGAAATCTTTTATTGCTATCAATTTAGCTATTAAAAATATTTAATTTTAATACAAGAACACTAAATTATTTGAATGAAACGGTCATATCTGACTACTGTGAACTGCTTTCAACTGAGTGAAAAAAATCACTGATATCAAGTCAAGTCTCATTGAAAACACACTTTCCCATGTTTAAACAACAAGCAGTGGACATGACTGAACTTCTGTTTGTTGAGCAGGTAAATAAGTCACTGTATGTGGGGGGCTGTATGTGGGGGGTTGTAGCGGCAAAGAGGTCAAAAACATGGAAGTAAACTGAGCCATTTTTGCCTGCAGTTATCATGGGATTTGTAGTTTAATCATGACCAGTAGCAAACTTAGCACTTCATGAAGACAGATCGTGTCAACCTCTGATTACGACTCTTAACTTTCTTTATTCATGCAGCCAACGGTTCTCAGGAATGATCAAAAGTAGAAAAAATTAAGAGCTGACAAAATTAAATTTAAGACCTTGAATGAAAATCTGGGCGTTTTTAAGACTTTTTTAGGCCTAAAATTTTGATTTTCAAATTTTAGACTTTTTTGGACTTTTTAAGACCCGGCTGAACCCTGAACAAATGACATAATGAACAGAAGATATTTGATGTAATGAAAAATGTTTTTAATTTTTTTTCCTCACAGTTCCATCAGTTTTCATAATGACATTTCTGTCCTTAAGGAAAAACATGACGTGTTATTATTTCTTTTTATTATTTTGTTTGAAGGCTGCCTACCAATGTTAGCTGAAGCACTGCAG